GTCGGGCGGTGCAGTCAGAAATGCCACTAGCAGAAAAAGAAAAAAACTGCCAGGCACACCAAATGTACAATAAATGAACATTGCTCCACGGTTCCACGGCAAGCGCGTGTCTCCGAAAAGGGAAGCCACGTTCGGTGCACCTGAGCTTTGCAGCAGCGTGAGCCCAAACCGCGTTCCACGAAGTGGCAAAAGGCAAGCGGGAGAGACAGGCACTAATCAACTAAGAGGCCAACGCAAAAAAGCATACTCATCGTGAAAACCACAGAGAGGCAGGCAACTGGACGCCAATGCGCACTCCACAGCGCCTTTCCATCCGCCGTTTTCCTCGACGACGCCGTCATTTTTTCCTCGTCCTCGTCGTCCTCCTCGTCGTCCTCGGAGCGGATGTCCGTGAGCGGGCCACCAAAAATCATTTGCACCGCCAGCCTCACAATCAACGAAAACCAGTACACTTGCAGCCCCTGCAGCACCACCTGCAGGAGAAACACCAAAACCCAGTAGCACACTGTGCACGTGCGCAGCTTCACCGCAAGCCCAGCACTGGCCAACGCGAGGGTCGGCAGGCAAACGAGGCGCAGGAAGAAAAACGACACCGCGAATGCGGCAAAGCAGATGAGCACCGTTGTGTTGCTGAAGACGAGTTTGTACAGGCGGCATGCCGGGGCCTCTGCGGGCCCAGTGCGCCTTCCTCCGTTTCTCGCGGCTCTCTGCTCCCGCTCCTCCGCCGCCTTCACGACGTAGCTCAGCGCCTTGCTCACTGCGAGCAAGACGTCGCTGACGTCGTGGATGAAGAGAACATAGGCACCAAAGCGGTGCTCGTAGCTGCAGTGCGAGAGAACGATGAGGGCGATGGTCACGACGTGGTGGACGAGGTACTCCAAGAAGTCCGAGCGCTTTATGTCGCGGTCCACAAGATGCAAGAAACACTCCGCAAGGTAGAAGCCGAGACCGTACTGGTAGTAGAGCAGCAGCCAGAGCCCAGGGCGGTACGGGTGCGGCGAAAGGATGTTGATGCGGTTGGCCTCGCTGAGCGGGAGCCCAAACCACAGCTCGTCCCGCTGCACCATGTACCCAAACAGGGTCGACGCGGTGTAGGTGACGGCAAGCCAGACTTGGGTCTGGAACTTCCTCAGCTTGTTGCGCTGCCCCCGGCTCAGGTGGGCCGCCTTGGCGCCACTGCCTTCGTCCACCCGCTTGGGGCCGCTGCTCGGCACCACCACCTGCAGGTACAGGCCGAGCCGCGCGATCTCCCGCCGGAAAAAGAAGCGGGCCACGACGAGCATGGCGGCCCACACCAAAGCCGGCAGCAGCTGCGGCAGCGCCGCTGCGTCCCACCCGACACCGCCCCAGCCGTTCAAGTGCACCTGCAGCGACAAGGGGTTCGTCGCCAGCCACCAAAGCTGCTCGCTCGTGAAGCTGAGGTTGTTCGCGTGCCGGTCCGTCGCGGGGTCGCCGGTGTGGTTGTAGTGCGCCACAAAGCCGTACTCCATGGCGCGGCTAAGCGGCATCGCGTACATGTTTGCCGGGACTCCTCTTGCACCCTCGGCGATACCCGGGGCCTCCATGGCTCCTCTGCGGTGACTCCCCTCTATCGCCTCCCGCTGGGCCCCGCCTTTTCCCCCTTTTCCTTCGTATTTTGTTTCTTTTGCCTCTTACTCGCCGTTTCAGTCGGCCCGGGGCACAGCGTCGCAATACACTAGCGCAGAGACAGGAATAAATGGACTGGAAAGCAGGGTTGGACTCCGACAAAGCGAGGGAGCTGGACAAAATGAGAAAGCAGAAAGGGCTGTCGCCATCACGATGTGTGAGCGGCGGCGCGTGGGCTTCGCAGCCCCATATTCGTCACTTTGAGAGTCGCATCCCGCCCCCTTTCGACGCATGGAGTGGGGCAGCAACACCACCATGACACGGGCAGTCCCCACGCGCGGCAAAGCCGGCCAAGCGAACACGCAACTTCCATGTCGCCGGCTCCGCCAGCGGGGATCACCACTCAAGCACCTCCCACACCGCTCGCGAACCCGCGA